CCCATCACCAGTGCGAAATTGGCGGTCACAGGTCAAAGGGCAGGGGGGGAAAGGAGATATCAGACATTTTCTGACGACATGGCCTAATGGACAGAGTGAAAAACTTTTTTGTTTCAGCGCTGACCTACCATTTTTATCACTTTATTGAAAGGACCATGAAATGTGCTTTCCACTGACGTGCGAAGAATAAGTGTCTGATAACCTTTTGACCCTCAAGAGGAGGGTTAAACATGGATTTGTTGACGTCACAGTGTTGTCATATTCATGGCACATCCATAATCTATAAACCCAATAAGCCTGAATAGCCGAACGCGTACAGCATGGGCGTCACGGCTGAAAGGTCGTTGGATCGAATCCCATCTGTTTTTTAATTATTTTCCTGTTTTCTGTATTTTTCTATCTTTATCCATTTAACTATTTTTTTTCCAATTAACACAAATATTTACATGATTTATTTACAACAATTTAATAACAACAATTACAATTTCTTTTTTTTTAATCGTTTCTCTCATAACCATTACCAAACCAAACCATAAACCATAACATAAACTGATAAACCATAACCAAACGTCAACCATACGTGTTGATGAGTTTCTCTCGCCCCCCTCTCTCTCTTCCTCTCGCTCACTCTTTCTGCAATAAAAAAATGTTTGCTGAAATGATGTGTACGCAACTGCGTATCTGCATATCTGCGCCTAACAAAGGTGTCACTACGCACGTCTGAAATCTTACGTTTATAACCGTAGAAACAGACCTCAGATGAGCCCAGTCGCTCTGCGGCACTTGTTATCATTATGTAGGCACTGTTTTATAATAAAATGCTCATATAAGATCTATAATCTATTATCTGAATAAAATGTGTCGTCCAAATGCCCAATTTAATGTGATAGATAAGTATATATATATATAATTTTTTAGGCTCGCTACGCTCGCCACGGTTGTCCATATTAAGCAGCTAGATTAGCCCCTGATTACCTTATGCCATATCTCGCAATATTCTAAAAAGTATGCTTCCAAACTCATTCAGAATGCTGTAGTTTCATTCAGTGAAGTAAGAGTAAATTCTTTGTACTGTTCTTTCTGCATTTCAATAAACCTTTTGGTTAATTTATCGATCTGTCGTTAGATCGCACGTAGAAACAGACAGGAACAGCTGCTGTCTCCAGATACATGAAGGTCTGCTTCGGTGCTTAGGCGAATCCATCTAAAAACTCTTAACAACCTAAACGGATGTAAATCAGTTTTTAATCAGATTCTACCAATGATGCAACTTTTATTCATCTGCCAATCATGCTACATAGCAATGCAGCAGATTTGTCAGGAAAGATTAAGCACTAGTTGCATGATGTAGTTTCCTATGAAAGCATGCTTAGTTAGCCTATGTGATATCTAGACAGTTATTTGAGGGGATCATTTGTCCAGGGGTAGAAATTAACTTTTGAACACGGGGGTCCAACAGCAACGGGGGTCCCTACCCTCAAAAAGACGGAGTTCGCAGCGAAATGAGGGAGTCTGCAGTCGTGAGGTACAAAATTAAAGACATGTATATAATAAGATATTAAGATGTAGACAGGATCAGGTAGAGAGATGTAGACAGGATCAGATAGAGAGATAGAGGGGTAGTGATACGAAGGTAGCAAGGGATACAAGTCCACTGCCATGCATACGCATATAGATAGTGAATGATCGACAGCCAATACAGCCAAATGTACACGTGAATCATTAATGCTACCTGCCAACCAACAAGCAACTTTCAACTTTCACCCTATACATTATTCGTGTAATGTATGCAAAAGACAATGCCATTGCACATGTATCACTTGTTCACCAGTTTTCACATTTACTTTCTGATCATGTGTAGCAGTTTAGCACAGGTAACCCCACAACTACTCGCTAATTTATATTTTGGATTTTTACAGATATATCCCACTTCACATTAGGGCAATTAACTACGAGGTAATTGGACTAGGTGCTATCGCAATGATAATGGGAACATATTCTGCAATGAGCTATATGGTTGGTGCGCACACATTCACAGTACCCTGTTACTTCAACGTGACGGCTGCGAGTGGATAGCAACACCAACACCAGTGGAAGTCGAAATGTTTTACGATTAATGTACTACAGGAATTTGATTAGATTGCCTTGTATAGTAATGTTAACGTGACGACAGCTTCTAAACTTGTTGTGGTGAAACGGCAAAGTTGAAATAAAGCCAAGGTTTTATCAACAAGTAATTGCGACTTACAAACACAACACCACGATTCTTGTTCACAACAATTTATTTCCACCACTATCCGTCGCCACACAGCCGTACACTCGTACAGTAACATTAATACATTCGCTGGGGAGGTCCCATCGTGCTCTTAATGTACAAGGAGCGGATGTTCTGCCAGTTCTTCTTCAGTAGCGACACGAGGAAGTTGATAGCTAGCGATATGTTTGCCACCAGCTCGTCCTCATTCATTCCCACGTGTCCGACAGCAATAGCCAAGCACAGCACCTGTAAGACAAACATGAATCACAGAGTTAGCGATTGAATCACGATACACTTGCAACGCACAAGAAAGAGATGTTAAACGTTTGTATCACCAGCCCTCAGGGTAATCCTAGAGTCAACACTATGTTTCTGAGTACATGTGCAATAATGTTCTTTCATCAACGAACTGGTGACCGTTTCCACTTCTCGCGCGCGACGTACGAGAATCACAAACGTGCAACCATTACAACTCTCCGCTGTCAAGACGCAAACAACAGCCGCACGTGAACCTCTCACCTTTTTCATCTGGAATTTGATGGTTGCCTTGACGTCGTCCACCTTTCCAACGATGCTCTCCGTGTGAGTCAGCAGCGTGGGGAACTTTCCGGCCTTGTTCAGACCCGGACCGAGGATACGAGGAATCTGCTTGATGAGAGAATCGGACGCAAGAAAGGCATCGTACTTCTTCGCTGCAAGACAGTAATAAACAAGTGGGAACGCCAATTTTCACACGTAGTATAATACAGACTAGGTCGGGCACATATTCCTCTAGTACTGAAGATTTCACTTTTTTTCCACCCCAAAACCATTTAAAAAGTCACTCCAGTCATTTCCTTAGATGCGCAATACTTAAAACATACTCCCAACTTTCCAATTTGTTTAAATCGATAACTCGCGACAAACAGCGATGTTCCTGCCATGTCCGCACAGACACTCGACTCTGTACAAAACCCCCCCCCCATGCAACCGACGTGCAATACATGCGAACTAGCAATTAGGACGAAGAGCCTTACCGAGTTTCTTCACCAACTTCTTGCTCTTGTTGAGCTTCTTGAGGGCATCAGCGTCCATGCACTCGACATTGTTGGCCTGCGCCTCGTCGCAATGCTGCTGGTCGCCCAGAACGCACACTCTGTACTTCGGTTTGGGAATGTACTTCAGCCTAGACAGCGAGAGGTAAAGGTACTGTGTGGCACAATGATCCAGTCTACACGTAACATTTACATCTGTTAGCTCGTCGTCCGACATTAACAGCGTTCACTTAACACCCCACACGTTCAATTACTCTTAACGAAGTCACTCCCATGCTGCCAGAAATAAATCAATTAAATTATACTAGGGGTGCACCGGATCCCAAATTTTCCAGAGTTCCGATTCCGGCCGGAACCCTTCAGAAACAGTCGGCCGGAACCGGAACTTTTTCCTAATTTCATTTCTGGTACAAGCGTTATCAAAATCAAAAGATTAGTCACTGGAGAGTCAATAAAGTCAACTTGCTAACAATATAGTGTTGCCTAAACGATTGCCACTTGAACATTGGCTAACTAACTGAACTGAACTTAAAGTGATTATGTCACCGTAAATAATAAAAAAAAAAAAAAAATCCACTTTTTCACAAAATATGTGATTCTGTTCACTTTTTATGGTTAAACTGCTGCATTATACTTCTTATTTTACTATATTATTGTTCGATGTGAACATACACTTGTGACTCATACATAGCCCATAGCAAGCAATTAATGTTATGAACGCTAATATCAAATCGTCCAGGTTTTTTGGATTTTTAGCTAGTTGAGAAACAATCTTATCAGGTAAGAATTTGACGATACGTTTAGTCACGTTAGTTCTTGCCTTTAATGTCAAAAAATGGCAACAAAATTTTTACAAATTTTACCATAGAAAATTCGTGACGTAGTCACTTTAACTGATGTTAGGCAATTCATAAGATTTTCTTTCAAAATCAAATACTCTTAGAGCCACAGCAATCGCATCTGTCCGTTAGTTAAAAATAATAGATTAAAACCAGGGATACTGCAACATGCAGGTCTTGCCACAAAATTTCGCTCATGAATAAGATGCCAGAATTATGCACTGTAAGCAGCTGATTCATACACCTAACAGTAACAACCATCCTGTAATTAGAACTTTGAGCATTGTCCTACTCGCCCAAGTGATGTGCCTCCTAATGATATTTCGTTCAGGCCGAGTGAGCCAAAACTGTCAAGTTTATTCCCAGCTAAAGTTCCGGTTCCGGCCGGAACTTAAAAAGTTGGATCCGGTGCACCCCTAGTTTATACATCAATTAAAATGAAGAAATCCATGAAACTATCAACTCGGAAAAGGTAGGTTCCCGCAACAAACCTTTGCACGTTATCGCAAGGGCGAAACGTTGCTAGCGCGCCTTCCCCGGTAGTTTCCAGACGTGGGCGGGCGCACGCGTTACTAAGTTTTCGGGTCAGCGCGAAGCTGAACCTCCCCAGTTGTTTTAAGACCCTGGGTAGAGGTCCGCCGAGCCAACGCACGCGTACGAGCGAGCAGACCTCGACTTCCTGTCACGCAACGATGAGCAAAACCTTCTCCTTTCCATGACAACATAACATAATTGTACCAAAACGTTCTTAAAGGTAGTTCAATCAGTAATGTTTTTTACTTGGACTTGACGGGTGACAAGCCGAGATAAAAATTAATTGGACGAGGTTAGCGAGAATTGCTCATTGCTGCTTCCAGGCGGGCAGTTACTTGATGGTGCCAGAGAAACGCTTGTCCTTCTGCGGATCATAGTTCTTCAGGTTGATCTGTAGTTCAACGGTCTCGTTAAACTTCCTCTTCCTCTTACTAGTAGAATGCTCCAGGACAGCCTGGACGGACTCGTACAGGGTGTCACGAGATACTTTGCTGGAATAAATTAGCATCGTAATTTTTAGTTTTATCATAGAAATATCATTATGGGATTTATACTATAGACTATATAGTTATACGACACGTGTCGATTAGGTGGGAAGGATATCATTGAAACGGGTGGCTATAGCTGCACTTGTTCTCAGAAGATAGAGGTCAACATATTGTTTCAGGTAATACATGCAATCTTTCGTTTATTCATCACTGGACAAGTGTACAGCTTTCATAATAACTAAGACTTTGCTAAAATGCACGACAAAATACGTGGCTATGTTATAGTATTGGTAGAAGGTACGCCGCTAAACCCGTTTTACTGGAAATATAAATGAAGTAAGAAATGTTATTGAGACGCCATCTACGACAATAACAATTTACTGCAACTTTCCCTCAAATAAAAGGGTAAGATGACAAACGATACAGTACAATAAAGTACGATTTAATATTAGGCTGTTCACACTTACGAACTCATGTTGTCGGTTCCACTTCAAGAGGAAGCCTCGTTTTCGTGTACAGATTTATATAGGGCTGGGTAACACCATTTTCAGAAACGAGAGTAAACGACACAGCTATCGACATTATTTTCATTTGAGTATACATCGCAGTTCTGCGTACATTTCTAGAAAAAAGACGTCAACAATTTTGTATATATATGTTTAATGATTTGAAAAAAGTTGGTAGCACTTTAAGTGTCTTTAATAGCAGGATTCCGATCGTTATTTATTTTGGAAATAATTTCCTTCCTCCTCATCTTGTTTCGGAATTTTATGCATCTAACGCCCGCCATCTATTGGCGAGTTGCGTAAGATGCTATATTTGGGTATCGCCATTTGTACTTTCCTTCACCTCAGTCTTATTTCGAGCTTTTTCTTCGCTTATAGTGTCGATGAATTTTCACGAGAGCAGCTCACAATATCAGCATAACATATAGTCATCATGGTACCCGTGGATAAATCCCAAGTTAGTCCCATGGAGGTAATATACGTTAGACTAGAATCGGCTACGATTTCCAAGTTTTCCGGTCAAATCTGAAACCTGACACTTCGACATCGTCACGATAGACATAGCATTTATTACTTCGATCTACCTTATTTCTCACGTGACGGTCTACGAATATACTGCGGATTTGATGTACTTAATACATTAGCCGAAATCAGAGCGTATATCTAACGCCTACGTGATTGCTTGGTTCGATTCGGTGATGCGTTGAAGTCGTCTGCCAATGAATCTCTGAATGTCGAATGACGCAGAGAATCTTCGTCGATCGCCCCCTGTGTTAGCGGTTGCTCTCGATCCACGATTCCATGAATAAATTATGGTACCGTACGCATGAACTACTCTAATACCCGCACGTTTAATTAGTAATAAGGTCCCCCCGGCAAACGCGTCAGTATTGATATTGTGAGTGTGGGTTGTGTTGACGCCCATGGTTTGAGGTAGCCCTTCATTAGTTCATACTCGCAATGTCACTGAGACCCACGGACCCGGAATCCTACTTTTGCTTTAGAGTTTAGTGTCACGCAGACCTTCGTAGCAGCCCATGTCTAGCGTGTCTGTTTTTTTTCTGTTTTCAATGTCGGTCCAGTGAAACGGCTCACGTGACGAAAAAACATAGTCTTCGCGATTCATGCTTCGTTGGTTTCACACACCGCTTGCGTCGTATCTATTGTTTTCGCGCGAAGCCTGTATTTTGAAAAACATTATCAAATAATGTACCGATGTCACGGCTCGGTCGGTCAACCCTCACGTCCAGCTGAGGTGGATTCGATAGTGGATTTATATACCATGTGCGTATATATGAGTTTGGGGGAAATTTGTCCATCTAACATGTCTGAGCTGTTCTTGTGTTGCTGGTTAAATATACTATTAAAAACCTTTGACATCTCTGCAAGTATGTTCCAGAGCTGTCACTCATATCACAAGGTTCTGAATCGACACTGATACCAACAATTGGTTGAGAAAGAAAATGACATTCCTATAAACAACTACTACTTCTTGTCAGCACCTTGAGAATTAAATACTACACTTAAAAATGCAAATGCATCTGTGTTTGTACATGTAGAGAATTGAGCATGTTTATATCTAATATTTAACCATTTGAACTGCAGTAGAAACACTTTAGTAAGACAATGCAATCAAAGCAAATACCTACAAATGAATACTGGTTTTGTCCTATCAGAAAACTGATTCAAGACCCTAACCTTTTACACTTGGCATTTTGAATGTTATCAGATTTCATTTTATTTATAATGAATGTCACCTGCTGCCATCTGGTAACAGCCCAAGCAAACAAGTAATACAGCTTGAGAAAGACTGCAGTAAAACTGCTGTCTAAACTGTTAAAACACATGTTAAATGCTTTGGATCGATCTCGAAATTGAGTTATTTTACTCTGCTTGCAGGAGTCGAAGGGAGGTGAAGAGGCGAAGGCTCTGTGTATCGTGAGGGATATGACAAATCCTCACTGGCAGACTAGCAAGATCACCCTCAACCTATCACTCTCTACTCCACTCAAAGACTTAGTCAGCGAGACTGCCAAAGAGTTTAAATATGTGCCGGATTCCTTTCTACTTATTTACAATTTACCCGGATGGACAGGGGAAGTGGTAAGCCCTAAAAATAACTTTATTTCTTCTATTTCTTTTGAACTATTTCTTCTTGGATTTATCAGATTGAATAATACATTAGCAAAGCTCTCACATTGCATCACCAATTCTACTATCCATGTGAATCATTATATCTGGGTTTAGTTTTTCTCATGTATAAAATGAATAACAGTTATTCTAAGAAACTGTTGCCATGCATTTATTTTTTCAGGAACTCAGTCCTAGCATGGACTTATCGTTACATCTCTCGGATATCGGAGTAGTGGTGGAATCGGAACCTGGTATCATTCGCCGCAACAACTTTACTCTGATGGAGACGAAAATTGGAAAACCACCAAAGAAAATAGGTAAAATTAGGTGCTTTGTGTGGATTCTGTTGATTCGTGTGAGCGCCTATAGAAATGGTTTAGTCAAAACACTAGTTAACCCTAATCACAATTACCAGGGCCTAATCCAGGCCATTTTTAAATGCCTAAACGCTCAAATTTACAGAAGAGATCGATGAGTACACGGAACGGGTTCTAAACTATACTCAGTTGAAAACCGTTTGTTCGGTCTTAAAAAAGACACAAAAAAACACAAAAAAGGTAAACATTTGCCTGAAAATAGGGGGCGCTGTTTTGTTTTCGTTCTGTTTGTATTTCGTTTTATTTCAACAGGTTTCAATTTCGTGTTGTTCTGTGTATCTCTGTTCCTGTTGTTCTGTGTCTGTGTGTCTGAGATTTGTGTAAGCCCCATAATGTAAGTAGAAATCACCATGTAATAATGAAGTTAAATATTCAGTAGCTATTTGGCCATAGTTTCCCATATGAGATGTACAAGTTGAATTTCATCAGAGCAGATTTTTTTCTGGAAGTCTGCAATGCTGTACAGTGTACGGGTGTCTTGAACAAGAAATGTTATAATAAGAAATGTTCATACCGAATACCGGTGCCCAAATTACGACCCCTAGCAAAACGTCCAAATTACAAAATTCATAAAACGCTCAAATTAGCAGAGCTCTGATGCAGATCTCCATGTTTTTAGCTCGTCAGATGCAGCTTGTAGAATCGCATGAGCGTGCGTCCGTTTGTGCGTCTGTCTGTCAACAGTTGGGAACAAATCTTAACCGCTCAACGTACGGTCCCGATATTCGGGACGTTGGAGGGGGGGGAATCGTGAAAAGGACTCAGGATGACAAATTTGGGGGTCAAGGGTCAAAGGTCAAGATGTGTAAACAGATGGGGAATATTTCCCCCTTAACTTAAGGTATAGGAGGAAATACGGAATTGCGGCACAAATCTGAACGGCTCAGCCTATCTTACTATAATTTGGCGAATGTTGTATGTATGTTAATGAAAGGCTCCATCAGTTTGGTTCCAAATAGCGCCAATTACAGAGAGTATCGTGCGTCACACGGGACGGCGGTTCTCTTGAAACTTACTCGGGTGAAAGCGTGTTGGTTGCTTAAAAGACAAATAAAACAAAGGATAAATTTGCCTGAAAAATAGGAGTGGGCTGTTTTTTTTCGTTTATGTTGTATTTGTTTATTTCACAGAATCGAGTTGGTTCATATTTTGCGTGTTGTTTGTTGTCTCTTCGCTTTGAGTCATAATGCCCTAGGCTCTGTGTCGGTCTTTGAGTTATCATCAAGCAAAAGTTGTCAGATCTGCTGTGGGTCTGAGTGGATGTGTTGTTATAGTTATTTTGCAATGGAACACATGTGTTTATAAGGTGGACACTGGTCTGTGCGGCAATTGCTCAAGATCTAGAATGGCGACTATCATTTTGTGTCTGTACTTTAATGATAAGTCTAAAATAGAACTTGGCGAAAAGTCAAGACCTATTTGGTGTCCTATAAGATTTTACTCTAGTGATATTGCGACCTGGTTGTTAGCTATGCTCAGGCAGTGTTAGATTTTTCTATTCCAGCTAAGATGTAGTTATCTATTTCTAGAGAGTCCTGCGGGCTATGACCATGTATATTATCTAGTGGTATGAGGCTCGTGATGAACATTTTTTTGATATACTAGCCATCTGATATAAATCAGTGCCGTGTCTTAGAAACACCAATCCGGTGATCGAGAACGGAACGATTAAAAGCACGTATACTCTCGCGTCTTATTAATAATTGATGAGAGCGGTTAAGTATTTACATACGAGCCACCAGCAGGTGCGTCTGTCAACCTTTAAATATTAATTAGCTCGCATGCTTGAAGACGGGACGACGCTCTGCGCCGCACCTGGCCCAGGGAGCGACAGCCTTTTCAGCTTTCCGACCCAGAGTTGCGTCCGACGCCGGGCTAGATTAGTACCGGCGGATTCGCTGATCACCACGACCGATGATTGAATATTACCTCGGTGGGTGAGAGGTTCCGCGCAGATCACTGTGGAGCCACCCGCCGATCGCCGAAGAGCAAGTACTTTACGTGCTAGCAGCCAAGTGAGTTAATCAGATCGCATGCGGCCTCGATGGTCGGGAATAGAGCTCCTCATTTTAGTGTCTGAGTCTAACCTATGCTCGCGTCCTTGATATCCGTTCTTGGTGTCGTAATCACAGACCATGCTCGAATGGTCAACCCAGTACACGTTAGTTACATAAACACTTTACTGTGTCGCTTGGTCGTGGTCGTAT